GAGGACTAGCTCTATTTCAGTAAGTGAGTATATGACCTACACTCGAACAGAAGGCCTGGCAAGACACCTTTGGAGTGTGTATTAACAAGACCTGAAAGGGTGGGTAGATGTTTTATTTCAACACATGGGAATTTAAAATGGCCTTGTCTACCTGATATATTCAATTTTCTTTGACACCACTGCAAACCTTTAGCAGAGTGCACCAAAAGACATTTCTGAATAAAGAACCCCTACATTTATTTTTGTTTAATTTGAAGATCAGTTGTATAGTAGCCATGTGGAATAGGGGTAAACGTGAGAATTCTGTCTTATATTAAAATTTGGTGGAAGGTTCAGATGTTGGAAAGCAATGACTGGCAGTGCACATTTTGTAAATTTAGCAAATTATTCTAAGAAGTGGAGGCGGAAGATGAAAAACTATGGGATTTCAAAAGACAGTGAGCCTTGGAGTAGAGGGATAAAGAGCTCTTAAACATAGGTTGGAAGCTCAGTAAATGTTGGTTTCTCTGCACTTTTTCCTATACTGAAATAGGAAATGATAATAGTTTTCTATTGTGCTTAAGCATCTGGGTGATGGTGGTGCTTTCTGGATTGTTAACTAGGAAAAATAAGCTCCTGCAATTCAAATCATTCAGTAAATACTAAGTTGAAGCTGAGATATAAATATCTTTAAGTAGATGAATAGAAAAATAAACTTTTTTGTACAAGGATGTGTGTTAGATAACTGTGAAAACAAAGCAGTTAGACTACCATATCTCCCTCAAGGAGTTTGTGGGTTTGTTGGGGGAAATGGACACATAGCAAGACAGTGGGTAATGTAGAATGCCCAGGAGTTGCCAAGTGAATAATAGAGAAAAAAACAAGGCACTCCAAAGAGAGTCAAACCCCAGTGGACTGAAGTTGTAGAGGCATTTTCCTGTTGGATAATGGCACAAAGCTAGATTTCAAAGCCTGGTGGGGTCCAGAGAAGTATCAGGGAAGACTAGGGCTTGCCAATGTGGAGAATAGTATGAGCAGAGGCAAGATATGGATGGCAGGTCTTCTGCTGAGTTTTACCTAGTTAAACCAAAGAAGTCATGTAGGAAGGTGGAAAGAGAACAGTAGAAACCCTTCAGAGACAGACGGTGGTGGGCACAGAGGCAAGGCTGTGAGCTTTGGGCAGACTCACATAAGAAATGAAACCCACTATAAGTGCCAGTTTAGGGACATTGTTTAGTTGAGATTTGTAGGATGTTGTGAGCTAGTTTGACCAGAGGGCAGAAAATCAACTGAGAAACCAGAACACCTGTTTTGGGATGTAGTAATGAAACTCTGGGTTAGACTAGTCAAACTGAGAATGAAAAGGAGGGAGAAATGGAATTAAATTACACTAAGGATAAAATGACATGAGCAATGGGTCGGGAGAATTAACATCATCAAAATGGCCATCCTGCCAAAAGCAATATACAGATTTAATGCCATCCCCATAAAAATATCAATGACATTCTTCAAAGAAATAGAAAAAATGTTGATGAGATTCATATGGAACAACAAAAAACCTCGAATAGCCAAAACCCTCATGTCTAAGAAAAA